CTTGCAGCGAGGAATGGGAGCGCCCCTCTTGCTTTTGCAGGGTTAGGGGGTAGAGAGGAAGAGCAGCGCCCCCCGGAAGCCGCGGGAGAGGAAGAGCAGCGCCCCCCGGAAGCCGCGGGAGAGGAAGAGCAGCGCCCCCCGGAAGCCGCGGGAGAGGAAGAGCAGCGCCCCCCTGAAGCTGCGGGAGAGGAAGATGGGTGTGTTTTGCTCTGGTGTTTTTCTCTTGTAGGGTGGGTATCTCCAAGAAGATTTTCTGTCATTAGGCCATCCTTTTCATATCCTCTGGCTCTGAGATGTAGCCTGAGTGCGGTCTTCCAGGCTCAGGCTGTGCGTTGCATGGAAACATGCTAGGTGGCCAAAGAGGAACCTCTCCTCCTGTGTCAGTTTAGGTTCATTGAGAAGTGGGCACCAAGATGAGACTAGATGTACAAGAGATTTAATTGGAGAAAACACCTGTGAAGGTTAAGTGGGAGGGAGCTGGATTGGTGGGGAGAACCCCCAGAGCAAAGGCCGTCAGGTCTGGCCCCCTTGAAAAGAGAGGGGCAGGAAAGGGTTGATCTGCGAAAGCCACAGACCACAGTGAAGTGATGGCAAGTCTCTGCAGGCAAGTGGGGGTCCCAGAGCAGGTCACCTCTTGGGCAGGCATGGCCTGACTCTAGAACCTTGTGAGGCTCAACCATCAGCTGGTAGCAGCCAAGAGATGAGCAGCCTCACGGTGAATGTAATTACCATCACTCAAAGGTGTTAATTCAAAGGTGTGGCGGCTGGAGGCAGGTATTCTCGAAGGCAACCCTGAATGGCAATCCTTATGGCCACTACAGTCCACCTCTTGTAACATGCATGACACTCCCTCTCCCCTGTCTCCCAAATGCTGCTTTTAAGTCATCTCAGACAATTTTCAAAGCCCTGCAGAGCAGGAGGTGCTGCAGTCTTGTTTTAAGATGGTCTTGGCCGGATGCAGTGGCTCACGCCTGTAATCACAGCACTTTGGGAGGCTGAGGCAGGTGGATCACAAGGTCAGGAGTTCAAGGCCAGCCTGGCCAATATGGTGAAACTCTGTCTCTACTAAAAATACACACACACACACACACACTCACACACAGATTAGCTGGGTGTGGTGGTGGGCACCTGCAGTCCCAGCTGCTTGGGAGGCTGAGGCAGGAGAATCGCTTGAACCTGGGAGGCGGAGGTTGCAGTGAGCCGAGATCGCACCACTGCACTCCAGCCTAGGCAACAGAGTGAGACACCGTCTCAAATAATAATAATAATAATAATAATAATAATAATAAGAAGATGTTCTTGTCTGGAAATCCTGTCAGACATCCCTCCTGGTGTCTGACTGTATTGAACACCCAGTCTATGTAACACACACACTGTGCACAGTATCAAACAAGCGTTATGATGGACACAGCTTTTCTCTCTGAGCCCAGGGTCAAAGTATCCACAGCCTCCCCTCAGTCACCAATTATTGGCTGTCTTGTTTTGTATCTGTTCTTCACAGGTATGATTTAAGCTTGGATGAAATGAGAGCTTTGACAGTTCAGAGAGTGAGGTTTGCCATGGGTCTACCTCTGTTAAAACGTGCAGTTCAGGATCTGGTAAGTGTCACTGTTATTTTGGTATGGGGTGTGTGTGTGTGTGTGTGTGAGAGAGAGAGAGAGAGAGAGAGAGAGACAGAGAGAGAGAGATTTTTTTTCTTTCCAACTTTTATTTTAGGTTTAGAGGGTACATGTGCATTTTTGTTATATGGATAAATTGGGTGTTATGGAGGTTTGATGTATAGAGTATTTCGTCACCCCAGTAGTGGGCACAGAACTCACGATAGGTGGTTTTTTGACCTTCACCCTTCTCCTACCCTCCTCCCTATTGTTTTCTTCTTTGTGTCTGCGTGTACTTGTGCCTATTGTTTTCTTCTTTGTGTCTGCGTGTACTCAATGTTTAGCTCTCACTTAAAAGTAAGAACATGCGGTATTTGGTTTTCTGTTCCTGTGTTAATTTGCCTAGAGATTTTGTTTTGTTTGCTTTTGTGACTTGCTAAGCCCGTTGATCTCATGCTGAGGGCAGCTGACAGACACGTCTCGGTGGAGGAGAACGTCTTCCTCAGGCCCCTTTTCTGCCGCACTCCCACTAACCTAAGGAACCCTTCCTTCGGCCCACACATTCACTTCTCCAGTCTCACAGGCAAGGGAATAGGAGTATCAGCAGAAGTAATAAAATATTTGTACACAAAACCAATATAATTTTAGGGATAAAGTTAAATAGCTGGGAAATAGAAATAACTCATCTTAAGGGCTTTTAAAGCACTTTAGACTTATCCAAAGTTTATGTCTTATTTGTCTAAAAACTGTCATTCTAAATTTAGTGATATTATTTTAGTCAATTTAGCCTCACGATAAAAGGAGGAAACAAAGAAAAAAATACGTGTTTAGTGAGTTCCTTTGTGTCAGTATTAGGAATGATATATTTTAGCCAAGTTCATTCAGCTTCATGGCTTTCTTAACATTTTACATAGGAAAAAATATACCTCAGCAGGGTGTGGTGGCTTACATCTGTAATCCCAGTACTTTGGGAGGCCAAGGTGGGCTGATCCTGGGCAGAGCCCAGGAGTTCAAGACTGGCCTGGGCAACATGGTGAAACCCTGTTTCCACAAAAAAATGCAAAACTGGCCAGGCACAGTGGCTCATGCCTGTAATCCTAGCACGTTGGGAGACTGAAGCAGGTGGATCACTTGAGGCCAGGAGTTCGAGACCAGCCTGGCCTCAACATGGCGAAACATGGCCTGGGCAACATGGTGAAACACCATTTCTACTAAACAAACCAAAATAAGACAAAACAAAACAAAAGTTAGCCGAGTGTGGTGGTGCACGCCTGTAGTCCCAGCTACTTGGGAGGCTGAAGCATGAGAACCCCTTGAACCAGGAGGCACAGGTTGCAGTGAGCTGAGATTGCACCACCGCACTCCAGCCTGGGCAACAAAGCGAGACTCTGTCTCAAAAAACAAAAACAAAAACAAAACAAAACTCAAAAAGCCCAAAAAACTAAACAAAACAAAAACTAGCCAGGCATGGTGGCCCACACCTATAGTACCACCTACTTGGGAGGCTGAGGTGGGAGGATCGCTTGAGGCCCTGGAGGTTGAGGCTGCAGTGAGCTATGATCGCACCACTGCACTCCAGCCTGGGCAACCGGAGTGAGACCCTGTCTCAAAATGAACAAACAAACAAAAAACCCCAAACCACCCCTCCTGTGAGAGCCCCTAGGGGAGGAGCCTGAACTGGGATAGCTGCAGCTCAGTGGTGTGCTGAGGAGCCAGCCCTATCCTGAAGCAGCCCAGCCCTCTCCCCACCCAGCATGGTCTGGGAGGGAGAGTCTGAGGATTGAGGGATGGAGTCCTCCTAGTTCAGGAGACCGCAGGGGCGCCTTTCTTTGTGGAGCGTAGAACAGAGCTAGTGGAGGCCTGGGATCCATGCTTGAAAGTAGATCCTTCTCCTTTCCCCACAATCCCACCAACCTTTGGTAGGTTGTCTAAGGAGACAAGGACCAATCCTGGAGTCTTCTCAGGAAGGAATTACAGGCAGAGCCTTGGCACCACCTGCACTGCAGTACTGCAGGCACCTCCACACTGATGAGGGCACTGCAGTGTCAGCTGAGCTGGAGAATGTGCAGATGGAAGTTCACTTGGCACAGAAAAACTCCCACATGACAGAGTGGAGCGTGCTTGCAAAGTGTAAAAAATCATTTCATACCGAGCAGTTTGGCAGAGATTTTCAAGCTAGGAAATTGCCTCTTGATGGAGCATCCATTTAGAGCTGTGAATACAACCAAAAAAGAAAAAAAAAAAATACAAAAACAACCAACCTCTTTGCTGCCAACCACTCTCTCTATCAGAGTAGCCTCCAAGTGCATTCGGCATGGGGCTGGTTGGAAGGTGAAATCTTGGCCTGTGGCCAGCTTCTTGCTCCCTTAATCAGCCCAACATGTCTGTGGCTTAACTTAGTGTCAATACTCGAGACCCGGACGTGAGAGCTGATCCCTTAATGAGGCTTGTTAATTGCCACCCGACCCGCTGAGTCTGAAGGATTAGCCTCTGTAATCTCGTTCCTGATGAAGCGTGTTGAGCTCTGGATCCAATTATCTTCCTGTTTTCCTGGCTCACTTAGTGGCCTTAGGCAGCCTGGACAACTCTCTGTCCTGGGTGATTAGATATAATTCCTCCAGGAGGCACAGGATTGGCCCTAGACGATCCCTCCAGTCATTTCTGTGAATTATCTTGGCCCGTTTGGCACCTCTTCCTGTATGAATTCGCAAAAGCCAGTAAACCCGAAGGAAACCAAACTGTCCATCAGTGCGGCATGCTCATCTCGCTGGGCGGATGTCATGAGACTCAGCGGCACATCTGTGTTTGAAGGCTCTCAAATTTCACCCTGTAAAACAGCTGGAGGAGCTGTCCACATCCAGTAATTCTAGAAGAAGTGTTACGTGATTCGTCCTGCCTCTTAATAAAACGATTGAGTCACGGCTGTCCTGCCTGCTCAGGGAGCGTGGCAGGCCCGTCTTTGTTTCCCTGGACCCCCTTTCGTGTTGCTCTTCACTTTTGTGGATGATCCGATGAGCTCTGAGGCAGAACGCAGTGTATAATGTGTAATGATGATGTTCTAGGGGACAAATGAGGAGGGAGTCTCATTTGCTCCAGGTCTCTATGGACAGTCCGCAGGCCAAGAATAAGCCATTAGAATATTTCCACGCTGTGTTTTCCCCTCTGCCGTCTGTAATAGATTTTAGATGTTTCAATCATTTTAAAGGGAAAAAACAGTATGAGTCTGATTGCAGAGTGTGCGTGCACACACACACAGACACACACACACACAGTGTGAACACCATCATTGTTCTCTGTGCCGACTTCTGCACCTGTTTCTAGTGACGTCACCTTTGTGCACCTCAGCCAAGAGCTCTCTTGTTCCCCTGAAGTTTCCAGAATTGGATCCTGGGCAGGGAGAGTCACCAACTGCCTCTATTTCCAGATGCAGAGACAGAAGACCCAGGTCTTAACATCTGCTTTGTGGCAGTGTCTTGTCCTATGTGGGGACAGCTTCCTCAGAGATGCTCATCCCTGGAAGCTGACAGAGTCTGACAGCCTGCACTGATCTTCACCATAACAGACAGTGACAACTCAGGTTGACTGAGTACATGTTCTATGCCAGTCCCAGCACTAAGAACTTTAAATAGATGATGTCATTCAATATTCACAACATCCCTCGTGGCATTCCCATTTTACAGATAAGTAAACTGAAGCTGAGTAATTGGACTGAGGTTAGTTATATAATTAGTGAATTGTATATATAAATGACTAGTGAACCAGGGATTCAAACCCAGGTGCTCTGCTTCCTGAGCCCATGTCAAACAGGTGGTGCTTGGCTCTGTCTGCACGATAGAAACAGCCAGACAATTTTCAAAGCTCCTGCTGTGAAGGCTTTTGCTCGGGCCAATGAGGTCAGCATTTACATCTTCCAGGTGACCCACTGTGCATCTGGGGTTGAGGACTGCTGCACTATGCCTCCTTTCCTGCACCCTGTCTCCCCAAAATTGTTCCCATTAAGCATTTGGTCCCTATCAATCAGGGTTTGTGGCTGGCTTATAAGGAAACTGCATCTCAACATTACCTTTCCCCAGGAGGGAGCCAGCTGGGATGAGGCTGCTTTCAGCCAAGTGTAGTGCGGGTTGGGGACAGATACCTGGATAATGAAAATCCTACCCCTGACTCCTTCCTCCCACCACCACTCTACAACCATTCTCTCTCTCACCCAGAGTTCTAGTTTTTATCCCCATGATCCACACGAGTGAGGGGCATAGTTGCACCATCATTATCTAAACCAGTGATTCTCAAAGTAAAGTCCTGTGTGTCCCCAAGACCCTTTCAGGTGCTACCTGGAAAGCATATGTCCAACTACGTGCATGTAAGACACTGGATATTCATCATAAACTTCAACCAAAACAACATATCACAGCAGACAGCACAAAGCAGACGTGAAAGTGCAGCTATCTTTTATTGAGCCAGATATTAAAACAATGTGAAACAATGCCATTCTTCTCATGAGTTTTTTGAAATTATGATTAGTTTTTGTAACAATTCTGCCATATGATAAATTGACAGCTATAGCCTGGACAAACAAAACCTCTTTGGAATCCTCAAAAAAGGTCCAGGGACCATAAAGGTTGAGAGTCACTGATCTAAATCATCTACTATTTTCTCAGGAAGCTCAGTCTCAGCAGATCAGAGGGGAACTAGTAGGACATTGGTTGCATTTCATTTATATTACATGTATTATGATTATTATTTTTATCAGAATTTTAGGTAATCTCCATTTGAGGTGTTTTTGTATTTAGAGAAATACCAGGTGGGTGATCAGATCTAAAATGGAAGAACGTTGTAAGGTCAGCTCACCTTAGAAGGTGTTTGGGAATGCCAGGGAGGATGGTTACTTTTCTACTCACATCCTGAGAGAAGAAACAGCCTTTCCCAGGAAGCATTTACATTTAAGCCCTGAGAGTGTTGTGCAAAAGGAGCTGAGCCAGGAATCTGCCAAGAGGCTGAGATGCCTGTCCTGTCCCAGTCCCAACTCACCCGGGCCCCGCCCTGTTGCCCACAACGTCCAGTGCCAGCCCCAGTGAGTGCTTCAGACTGTGACCGCTATACTCCCCCACCCATCCCAGGACTGGCTCCTGACCGACAGACAGACTCTGAGCTCTTGGCTCTGCTGTCCTGGCCTTGGCTCCCCCTTGGCCCTCTGGCTTCTGTTTGTATTGGAACCCAGGCTTTTCCTAGTGGGCTGTGACAGGCTCCCCTGGCTCTTAGTTCTATGTACTGTCTTTGGCAAGAGTCCCTGTCCCGGCTCCAGCTCCACAGATTTGGACACTGGCCACTTGGCCAGCACTTTGGTCAGGCCAGCCCTGGCTGCATGGGATATCTTGGAGGATTTGGGCAGGGATGATAGGACAGAGCGGTCTGTTTACAGAAGTTCCTCTGTGTAGATTGGCACCTGAATGCAGTTGTCATCTGTGATAGCCACAGGGATTACTTGAAAGCGGGCATGTCAGGGAGTGAGCTGGACCTGCCCCGGGACTCCAGTGCAGCTGGAATCATGGTGCTATTTGTTTTTTGACACTGCAACCATTCTGCATAAAAAACACCCTTTTCATTCTAAGCCTCCATTATTACTCGTGCAGTGAAATACTATGTAAAAAAACAATAATTATTTCTTGCTACCTTTTGCCAAGTCCCTTCCATGTGCCAGGTGAGGTGATTCGTTCATTTTATAATTATTTATTGAACACCTACAGTGAGCCAGGCATTGCTCTAGGGGCAGTGAACAAAGCAGGCAGAAATTACCTGTCTCAATGTAGCTTACATTTTTGTCTGGGAGGAGTCAGACTCTAAACTAATAAACAGTTAAATTTCTGGTATGTCAGATGCTGGGGACAAAAATCAAGTGTGGTAAATTGGAAAAGAAGAAGTTAAATAGTCTCTGTGAGCAAATGACAGGATCTTTTATGTAGAAAACCCCAAGATTCTACAAAAAATCTGTTAGAACTAAGAAATTCAGCAAAGCTACAAGATAAAAATCAACATGCAGAAATCAGTTGCATTTCTATACATTGATAATGAAGAATCCAAAAT